AAAAATTGTAAAATTGTGAAATTCGAATAACTTATATGTATATCTTTCTTTATTCTTATTTTTAATTTCCGCTCTTCTTTTTATTTTCTAGTTTAATTTTTTTATTTCATTTTTTAATTCCGTTTAAATGAAATCAAATCATAAGAAATTTTCCTTTTTGCAATAATGAAAAATGAATAAATTTTATCATATTTTTTATGTTTACATAGAATTTACATTTATTATATTTAAATATATACGTTAGCAAATTATTCGTTGGCTTGTTTTTCATTCTTTTTATTTATAATTTTTCTAAACTTAAACATTTAAAAGAAAAAAACTTAAAAAGTATCCTAATTGCAAAAACGCCTTTGCTATCAACTGATATCATCTACGCTATAGTTCCATTTCATTTAATTTGAAAATATTTCAAATAAATTTCGGGTTTAATTTTATTAAAATATTTTGTATAGACTTATGTTTATTGCTTTAATTTGCCTACTATAGAAACATTGCATACATTTTATTACGTATTCGCTAAAATGCTGAATTAGTTTAAATGCTTTAAAGCTTAAGTTTTATGTTAACAATCCACACAAATACACGATTAAATACTTAAAAAGCAATTGTAATTTTATTTTAAATTTTATTTCGTTGTATTTTCTTTCTTACATCATTTCATCTATTTACTTTGAGGTAAACATTGGCAATATAATTGACGGCCAAGGTTAAACGGACGGTAATGTAACACGTTGACGTGGACGTGGACTTAGTGTTTTATGGTAATCATTAAAAAAAAAAAAACGATGGATCGGATAACTTTAATAATATAACTAACGAATATTTAGTTCATAAAAAATTTAATCTTATGTAACATGAATTACTTTTCTGATATTTTGTAAATCTTTTCCCAAGACTACAGCAGCAACAAAGAATAAGAAAAAAATTATTTATGTACGTTTTAATCCGAATTTTGAAACATTCTAAAGGGCGGAAGAGCCTTCAAAAAATTGGGAAGACTTCATTCTTTAGATGCAACGCAATGTGATGACGGTGTACATGGCACGATTTAGGAATGTGATGGGGAAAATTTGTAAATGAATTTCAATAATGTTCGAATGCTATAGTGCTTTAACGATTACGAAAATTATAGTCGACCGTGACTGAACGTTTTACATCCATCAGCTTTATTTTAAACAAAACTCAGCAAACTAAATTTCGAGACTAATTTTTTTCATTTTTATGGAATACACGCCCATATGTTTATGTGTTTTCATTTTTTGTTGCAATTTAGAGCTTTGGGTGTCCTTTGATCGATTTGGCAAATTTTCAATATTAGCCAGCGTGATTTTGCAAACATCAAGGAGATTTCATAATTTTTGCGACTGGAACAATATATGCTAAACATATTACATAGACGGACTGGCTTAGATTGCATCAGACTTCGATGCTGACCAAAAATATATTTTATATAATTTATGATATCTCTGAAGTGTTCTTCTGGATATTGCAAATATTTCGATAAAATCTCAATATCTCTCTGCGCAAATGAGTTTTCTTTTTGGTTACTTAGTAGTTCGATTTTTAAAACTAATCCCCTTGGTCTGAAAGAAATGCGAATGAAATATACACAGATAGAATTTTATTAAAAATAAAGTATTGAATGCATAACCGATTTTTTCAAATATCCGATTCTTGCGCGTTACTCGCATGCCAACATTTCCAATTTAAGCATTTACTTATAAAATTAATTCCAATGTTTCTGCACTTAATTTACGCTTGCACGCAAACATGTTATTGTGGCTAGAAAGAACAAAAGGATTTAAAGCGTTGACAATAAAAACAAACAGTGATAGCAATTACGAAATCATTAAACGAAAATACAAGTAATTGCATGGAAATTTAATTCGATTGATCGAGTTGAGAAACTTGTGTATTCTCAAAGAAAATATAAAAATCTTTTAAGGCGAGATTGGGCCATTTATTTATTGGCTAATATCTGAATTTAAGATAGAGAACGATTTAAAAGTAAACTAACTAACTAAGAAAGTTAATGAGATTTTTATAGGTTTTTGTCCGAATTTTTGGAATTTGGGTAAGTGAAGTAACAAGGAACAAATAACAGAACTTGGACCACTCTATTGGTATTCATATAGCGATTTTTTAAAATCGACTGTTATAAGGGAGAAGAGTGTACCGAATCGAACCATTTTTAAAAGCGTTCGTCCTTGGACAAAATGCATTAGCTTATCAAATTTGAATAAAATATTTCAAAAATTTCTACATGTATATTAAACAGACAAGCAAGAAAGGGATTCTGAACCGATCGGTGCATAAATACCAAGTCTTTCTAGGTGTTGCATATACTCGGACGAATTTATTCCATAAATGAACGCGTAGGCCTATCAAGTAACGCTGCGCACACACACAATCTGCCTATACTGATGTAGTATAATTTGTCTTTTTCATACTCGTCGCTCAATTATAATGTTTACTATGTTTGCCCTAGTCTGAAATTATGCCTTGCGGTGCTGTGCGGACGTAAAGATCCCGATTTTAATTGACGCCACAGATTCGCTGCAATAATACAGGAAAAGCGATAAGATTAGCAAAAATCATATGACCAGAAAAATAAAAAGAGATAGATACAGATTCACTTAATATTTTAAATACATATTTTATTTATTTCTTCATAATTTCAAACAATTTTTGTATATGCTTTACAATCATTATCAATCAATAATATTCACTATTTAATGTTTACATTTTTACATATTTATTTCAAATAATCGTTAAATATTCATGCTGCCCATCAAAAGGGAACATTGTAGGAATGATTTTAATACAAAATTTCGATTTACATTGAAACTCTTTACGTACAGCGTAAGATAGAAAAGATGAAATGATTATCCGGTATAAAGTTAGTTTCAAAGCAGGCATTAGCAAACTGCGGCCCGCGATGCGATCGAATCCGTCCCGGTACCTTTAAAATTTCAAATAATTTAACTTGCTCGCACACAACAACAGTGTTGCAAATGGATTATATCTACCTTTACAGTTGGCTTAGTTGTGCAGCTGACAAATATGAAACGCGTTTAAATGTTTTTTTTTTTCTTTTTTATATCTGCCAGACCATAAAATGAGCGATTTAAAAAGAAGAATAATTGATTCATTTCTTGTCGTATTTTTAATAATAGCTGAGTCTTGTGGTCGCTCTCGCCCTAATATGTAAATGAAAACTGACCCGCAGATGCAAAATTGTGCCCGTCCCTGCTTTGAAGCATAAATATTTACAACTTTATTAATAGCATTCTTTTTCCGTATCCATTTGTTAATCAAGAATCATTTATAGAGTATCCAGTCACGAGGATCAAAAATATATGTCAAACATCCAATAAAGATTGAATATATTCTTGATCCGTTTTTCGATCAATGCCAAGAGGCACGGTAAGGGCAATCCGAGTTCATCATCATTTCAAACTTTTGAACAAAAAAAATACTTTTCTAATAACGTAAATATTACACTGCCGTAAAAAAAAAACCCTAAAATATATATACAAATATAATGAAACGTGCAATACAAAATATTATATAAAAATAAATTACTTAATACATAATTATACGAAATAATGGTAAATACACATCAAATATCCTTTCCCACGTGCATATTTTTATACAATAAAATGAAATTTGAATAAGGAAAAAATGAAAAATACAATATTTTGTAATTATTTGCTCTAATAGACACGATCGATAGCATGAATATAACTAATGCTTATAAATTTGTGCATCGGTAACGGCTGCCGATCTCAATCTGATGGGAACTTAGATGATGTCTGTTCAAGATTTTTCCCAAGACAAATGAATATAACAGAGAGAGAGAGATGATCGGGAACTATCTGCCAGAGCACTGTTTTTTTCTTCTTCTGATATATGATGAACTAATTCGGTGGGCAAATGAAAAAGGGAACACAGGTAGAAACGCAGCGTCTAAAAGTCGGTTTACGTTTAATTAAGTTTAATTTAAATGGAACACGTGAAAACACTACACACCTATAGCTGTTCATATAATGACTTTTCGAAATAAGTAGTTACATAGCAACTGATCGAAAAAATGGTACGATCCGAACCATTTTCGAAAGCATTCGTTCTTGGAGCAACACACGTCAGTGTACCACCTTTCACCGGAATATCCTCAAAATGCTGATCTGTAGATTGAATACAAGAAAACAAGACGGACAGACAAACTTAGATCGAATCGAATAATGATCCTGAATGGATTTGGGGGTCTATCTCGAATCTATCTGGATGTTGCTCATATCCATATAATCTTGAGGTATTCTTGTATCGCAAGTGATGTGGGATATAAAATTCGAATTAGTTTACGCCTGCCTTCAAAAAAAAAGTTACTCACGTTTTATCAAACGAAGAGATGTGAGATGTTTACATACTAAATAAGAGAAATCAATACGTCTCTTGTTCCTTTAACCCATGGAATCAACTATGGAAAATGGCTTCCTTTACTCACGCACACCTGTCTTCGAAGAGAATGGGAAGAGATTTTCTTCTTTTTTTTTTTCGTAAGTGGAACAGGGGTCTACGATTTTAAAAATTAGTAACGGTCATAATAAGTTCCAACGGTTTTTTCGCGGATAAGATCATAGCGTACGCTGTTTTCTTTGTGTATAATAAATAATTTGGCTTTTAAGTAAAAAAAAGGAATCGTGTAAGAAAGAAGCGATGTTTTAGCAGAAATCGTAGTTTTTAATTTGACCCCTTTTAATCGGCAAGAACGTATATAGAAATTTACAGTTGCTAAGAAAATTTGAAAATTTAGCAACAAATGCATCAAATGCCCCCGCAATTACTAAATTTATTCAGAATAAAGAGTGTACCAAAGTGAAATGTGAAATACTTCGTTGGGAATGCCAGTCTACCGAACACTAAACTAAAACTGGCTAGAGCAGAAAGGCATGCGTTAACATGGGTATCATTTCCTTATATGGCACAAATATTGGGGAGATCGTGTAAATACTCTGGATCAGTTAGCTCTTCTGATAGTGAGTGCACATACACACACACACACACACATATATATACATATATATATATATATATATATATTATCTTCTTTTCTTAAAACTTACTCTTTATCCTTCTTGTTTATTATATCTTCGCGACTTAACTTTTTATTAATACTTTTTTACAGTTTGATCCCCCCTTTGTAAACTTTGTTCCGTGAAGCTTCAATTTTCCTCCTCATTTAGTTAATTTTTTAATATACTTTTATATTTTTCATCCTCTTGATAGAATTTGGAATTTGCTTCAACTAAACATTTCCATTTAATTGTCAACTCTGTATAATCGGGACCATTTCCACCCAATTCTTTAGGTAAATTGGCGCATTTTATTGAACAACCATATTTCTGTACAAGAACACGAGAACGCATTTTCGATGTCATAAATACGCGGAATGTATTCAATACCAAATTAACATGAGTCGGTGAGTTCACAAATTCCAATTTTTTGGGTTGACATGGATAAGCTTGCCAGCTCTCAACGGATCTTTTAATTAATATAGGATTCAATTGCAAAGCATGACCTAATTGAACGCCATTCATATCAAAAATTGCCACAATACCGCGGGAGCAATTTTCCATTTCCATGTGCAATAATAAATCTAAAATCATTTTGCTTACTTTAAAGACATTGTTCTGCGTATGCAATTTTGGATCATGTGCCGCTGTTCGAACGACTACGACTTTACGTTGTTCATCGTCTACGCCGTCGATCGGTAAAAAAACACCCAGTTCAAGTAATTGTTGTACTTCGGGCAGAAATGGATTACGTTGACAAAACCATTCGGGACGTTCGGCTCGCATTTGATAGAAACTAAATATAAAAAGAATAACAATGTTCACTCTTCGAATTGAATCCTTGCTAATTTTACTCAATATTATTAAATTAAAAAAGGTAAAAATTAATTACACACTTAAATGATTAACATCTATGATCCAAATCTTAAGGCATGGTTTCAATGCTGGAGTACTTGAATTAAAATGTTTCGCAAACAAAAAAAAAAAAAAAAAACAAAAAGTAACGAAGAAATAACGAGTGCTATGCAAAAATTTCGGTTATAAAACACATTCACTTTGATCAAAATTGATAACAATAGTAATAAGATGATATGATTATGTTTTACCATTTGATCTTCTTTTTGGTACGTTCCAAGTCATATTTGCAACTACGTAAAAAAAATGTTAAATTCTCATAATCCATGCGAGCATTGATGTTTGGATTATCCGCTAACCATTTTAAAAGCGATTGCATTTCTCTGGCTACTCTTGCCGGGTCACTTTCAAGGCAAGAGATTTTATTAGAATTTTGGAAAAACATTTTTACGCACAATAAGGCTAATGACTAAAAATCGAGTTTGATTATATTTTGTTGATCTCAGTTTATTATTGGCAATTCGTTTATTTTGTTATCTCCCTTATCGGCCGGCACTTTCATAAACTATCAAATCAACAATATAGTACGTCAATCGCGAAGCTCTGTCAACGAATGACTAACGAGAAACAAAGGTTAAAGCACTGACTATATGCACATATTATGCTTTTCTTCTTATACATATACATACTATATATGCGTTCAGTTTGTTGTGTTGTTGATATTATGCAATATAAGTGCTGAGTGTCGCTTTTAAATTAATTTTCTGCTTGAACGCCGCTAGCGGTGTATAACACATCATAATACGCAACTTTGGAAATATTTCTTAAGTTGTGAGCGCTCATAGATTTGTAATACAATATGATCAAGTTTAGGGTTTATTGATAATTGTTTAATTATCTTAGCTAATTATTATCTATTTACAACCGATATCGTTGAAATGAAATAATCTGGCTTCACATTAAGTAAACGAGAGGTTTTCGAAAGAGAAGGTGATGTGCGTGTGTGTGCGTTTGTATGGCTGCGAGAGTTCTTTTGATCGTGCATCGATTTGCGATTCCAAATAAAGCACAAATAAAGCGCATTTCTGATAGGAGTTTGTTGTTGTGTGGATCTTGTCATTTTTTGTGGAATACATGTGTTCTGATCAGTGATATAAATTATTGAACATGATAAAGTATCAATGTACGCATAACCTTTCCCTGTATAAAATAACCATTTAGTCGTTTTTTAGGTTTAGTTGAGTTAGTTAGTGTATACAGACGCCAATCATGGAACGTTCAAAATTTCGACATTTATTTATTTAGGGCTTCATACTTATTAATAAATTCAAATAACTAGAAAAAAAAAATAAAAAGTGCTTTGATTTAAATTTTAATGGCATATCAGTGTAAGAACACAAGAAAGGAAAAGCTTTTATTTAGTGGCCGTCGACAGCTGCGAACTATAGACTCTACGGTGCGCATGGCTAGACGGCTTACAACTGTTGATAAAGTATGCATTTTTCTCATTATCGAATCAAAAATTTTTCCATCGTAAAAATGCTGACGAGTAACGCATTTAAATTACGATCAATTTTACTCGACATTGCGTGTAATAAAACCGGCTTCTATCGTTCTCTCTTTAGCACACATATAGGATATGCGTTTAATTATAGAATAAAGTCGTACTCAAATTGTAAGAGAAGAGAGAGTACGTCAAAGAGGTTAAGTGAATATAAAAATAAAAATTTGCCAAATATTAGGTCATTGTTGAAATTTTTTCATTCATGCGATAATAATATAAAGAAAAACAATATCGTACGTAATTTGCTGAGCGGAAAAAGTTATAATAAAATTTAGGGCAACATTAGGTAAATGGTTTTATAACGATTGGTTTTATCGCTTGTGAAAATTGAGTGCAGTTTAATTAAATCAAGTGAAACGATGTCGGTTATTATATATCTTACGATTTTTTTTTCACTTATGACACTGAGAGAGAGAGAGAAACAAAAACAGTATTTGGTTGCTTTCCATAGTCGTCTTCAAGTAGCAGTAAAAATTCTATTATTAAATATTGATCGATTGAGTGTAGTGCACTTGCAGAGATGATGATAATTTTGATTTTTAAATCAATATATAAATTAAATATATACATATAAATTATTTATTAATATTATAAATTAAATATTAATTAAAATATTTATATAAATTCTACTTTTCCTTAACGTGCAAATGAAACGCAAACTGTTATAACTGTAGCGTAAATATTGTTAATCCGAAAATAGATAATACAGATCGAACTGTAAGGTGCATTATCTTGAAGATATAACAGGAAAAGTTAACTAAGTTTATCGATATTTCAGAGATTTTAAGATACCCTATGTACTCAACGTTGCTTACAATTATCGTCTAATTTCTTCTGAATCATTTTCACATTAATAATTAAGTTTGTGTGTATTTGTAAAAATATCAATCAATTTTGAATAATTCTTCTCTTTTCAATTTATATATTTATTTACTTACACATGAAACTCAACTAAAATAAACTAACAGTCCAATTCAATAGACTTCTTATATTAATTATGTAATTAATATAAGCCAGAAAATCAAATTCGATCGGGACCAAATTTTTTATACCCACCATTCTAGAAAAGACAAAAGAAGTAGAAGATCAAAATTTTCATACTCTATGAGTGGGCGCAACTGATTTTTTCTATTTTCAAAATAAACGTTTTTGCCATATACGCTTAGGTTAGTTCCAATTTCTTTGGTATATTTTTAGGCGATATTTTCAATTTCGTTAATGGGAGTACGTTTACCACCAATATTACAAAGTTGCGCATATGGACAGATGGACAGACGAACAGGAAGACATGTTTAGGTGCAATATAAATTTGAAGTTATCCGAGAATTTGCATAATTTACGGGGTTTTTGAAGCTCGTTTCTTTGCATTTTATAGGCATTGAAAAAATAATTAAATTTTGATACAAGTCTTTACAATAGGGGCGTTATCCGGTGAGTCTATTGGTTTCCTATAGATTTCATTACGAATAAGGGGCCCCAGTTCGTACACGCTGGTCTTTTGAGCATCGCACGGCCTATCTTTCTAGTTTACAATTCCAGTAAGTTGACTATTGTAGATTTCCGGAGTCTCTGCAGGTATTAGGTTACTGCAATGACTACGGTTACATACATGACCACCTAGCCTTATACAGAATTGATGCTTTTCAATATTTTTCATGGATATCACACACTCCCCGTCCACAGTATAATTAAAACTTGACGTAATATCGAAGGGTTCGTGGTCTAATTAAAGGTGTTGCGGTAAACAAATTCCTCATTTTTATAATCTTCACGTTTATGCTCACTATTGAACACTTCGATCCGTGCACAGGATACAATGTGGTAGGTAACTAAACCTTTGCTTTCTTTTTAGGCAGTCCACCGTCGAAATGCATGAACGATAATTGCTGATCTTTGCGAAAATGTAAGGGAAAGTTGTCGAACTTTTTAACTTTGACTATGTGTGGTGTGGAAGCTCTAGATAATATATCTGGATACGGTTTTCCGCATCTCGCCATTAACCATATAGTGTGTAAGAACAAAACGTTCTCCCATATACGTGACCACTCTACCAAAACACGACTGCTCTTACTGTCATAAAACAAGGTAAACGCACTTAGAGCAAAAAAGTTTTCCTGTCAGGTTTATGTTCAAATTGTTTAATCACATGGTCTATCCAGTTTTTGCAACGATGTAATGGAGTAAAAGGTAAAAATGAAAACTTTTTTTCCAAGTACGCAGGAATTATACGTCGCCTTCGTGGAATATATCCCAATTACTTTCTTTTCATAGATTGTGGAGGCGCCCTCTGCTCCACGATAGCTGTCACAAAATTCTTTAAAGTGGTTCTCAAAGTACCCTGTATACAATGGTATCCATACAGTCCTACACGTACGAATAAAAGTTGATCCTTTTTCTTATTAAGCAAAAGCAAATCAGCCGTGTAACATAGCACAACCATTCCACCTACGTTATAAGCTATAGATAGTCTTCAAATCTATCTTCTACTGACTCATCAAGTGGATTAAGGAATATGATCTTGCAACCATTAGAAAATTCATAGATCAACTTTATCTTCTCGTCGAGCTTTACTAAAGCTATTGCGTAATCCTCTTTTTTATGAGTAAGCTTTCGAACTGCACTCGTTACCGTGCGCCATCTTTAACTTGATCTTCGCTGTGACGCGTCCATTTTGATTTTCCTTTTTCACGCCTACGAGTGAATTCAATTGCATTTCTCTTATCAGACTGAAAGATGGAGAGAGAGACAACGGTAGAGAGAAGGAGAAAAGAGACAATGAAAAAAGAGTTTAGAAAAGCCTCAAACTGTGTGGAGATAAGGATCTAACATCGGGGCACAGTTATTGCATAAAAAATGCAAATATTTTTTATAAATTTTGGCGGGGCAAAATTTATAGCTGGTTTTATCGCTCGTTTTCCTTTGAACCATTTTTTTCAGATAAGTGTTTGTTCGGGGAAAAATCTAATAGCGTGGCTCCTCGGGACAAACCTAAATTTCGCAAAATATCTCAAAAATTGGGACCCGTGCGTTCAGCAAAAAATTAAATGAACAGACATCAGGCGGGCCGACAAGTTTAGAGCGCTTCTGCAAACGGCTCTGGGTCGATCGGTATAACTAAGGGTGGGTATATCTCAATTCCTTGTGGGTGTGGCATAGGTTCGCACAAGCGGTATAATATACCCTGTACTAAAGGTGGTGTAGGATATAAACAAGTGTTAACATAGTAAAGAATTTATCTCTTTAATGCATGATATATTTTTTTTTTTTTTTTTTTGCTTTTTATGTCCAATCATATTTTATCTCTGTGTCATTCCGTTTTTGTTTTCAGTCAAAGTTAGCAACACTTTTTTCTTTACTTTCAACAATCAATTCAACAATCTACTTTGTTGTTGTGTTTTATATACATTTTTTGCTAATAATTACTACTGTTTATTATTTATTATCTGGAGATATGAGCACAAATTTATTGGCTTGATTTGTCGATATACAAAACACTACAAAAAAAATTGAATTTCACTCCTAACGTTACTTGATATATAGGTCTTATCATTACAGGCCTGATCCATTCTTCTTTTATGCACCAATAAATAAAAAAAAAGAATTGAATTCCAATACAACTAATGGACGAAGGTAATGATCTCGATGTTAAACCCACAAATCTTCAGTGCAATGTTTGTGGTGAAAGGGAATTTTATACGAAAGGTGGCTATTATTTTTGTCTAGAGTGTGGGACGAAAACAGAAGAGGCGAGACTTGTTGAGCGGGAACGCGATGAAGGTCAAGATGATATCAAACACGTTAGAAAGCAAAAAGTGCATACTCTTAAAACGGATAAAGGTAAGCCAACTTAACAGTAACTTTATGAAAAATGCAAAATGTATTAAAATTTTCTTAACATTCTTGCTTGCATTTTTAAAAAAACTTATTACGAAAAATCATCTAACATCATCAACATATCGTACATTTCGTAACGAAACCTATTTATGGGGAGAAAAGTCCAATGTGTACCTTACAACCTGTAATCTCCAAACAAACAGATTTATTTAGAGAAGCTTCAAAAATTGATGTTCTAAGATTGAGTTTCTACAGAAGTCGAGAGGCCTATGCTTCCATAAAACCAATATTTAAAACAAAAGAAGATTCATGTGCATACATTTTAAGGTTTTCTTCTTATTGGAAATTAAAAAAAAGAAACATTCCTTTGATGATAAGAAAGAAATTTCCGTAGAATTCAATTATCACATAGTCCTACTTGATATCGCAGTTTGATTCAAGATACTGAAAGCGTAATACATTGGTGCTTCCGGTCAAGCATCTTCTCAGCGTTGCGAATCGGTTCGCAAATCCAATTTCCAAAAAGCAAATTTATGTAAAATGAACTTTGCGAAACTTGTATCAACGCTTATGTCGAAATCTGAGGAAAATTTGTAAAATATCTCTGCCTTTTTGAAATTTACAATTATGGTAAATATTTTCAGTTGATCTTTCGGGCTAAAAATTTCTTGTATTAGTAGAGTGCTTCAATATTCTTCTTTGGTTTAGTGGAGAACAACTTTGATTATGAACAATTCATTCACATATTTCAACGTAATCAACGCCAAAGTCAATTCATTATAATTCAGTTACATTTTTTTCTTTTTGTATTTAGAACATTTTTACTGTAGTTAGAAAACATGTATTTTATGGGGTCCTTGGAAAATAGTTTTATATAGTAATAGGAAAGGAGAGAAAAGAAAGCAAATTGGAACTGCAGAAAGTGTACAATTTTTCAATTTTCTTCCTAATTAAGAATTCTTAAGATTTTTTAAAGCAATTTTGCTTTTAGCTGATATATCTTAAGCCTGCGAAGCATACTACCAAGCTGTTTAATTGTTCAAATTCGTATGTTCCTCGTATAGCTTAATGCTCGTATTAATTTATCTTAATTAGACGTATTAAAATTTTCTTTTAGTTCATTTAACATCGTGGGAATGTTATAATTATATACTACGTGGCTTGGTTGACGATTTATTATCTTATGGAGTCAAAGAGGAATTAAAACTTATGTGCCTACAAATTTGGGCCGCTTACCTTAGACACATGCAAGTAGCGTTCTTCAGTAAAGACTCAGCTGAGTTACCTAAATTAAGTGTGCGTTACTTAAAGAGGTAATATTTCTAAAATTTTAAATCAATTCGTTCTCTTTTATTAAAGTAATAATATCAATTTAAGCGATGCTGAGACTATTTACAATCATCGACGTGCCAAGAAACGAAAACGTAAAACATCTGGCTCGAGCGTTGACACACACAATAGCAGCAATCAATCCAGCAACAGAGAATGGCGCAAAGCTAAAGTAAGTCTTGAGAGAGATAAGATGAAGTATGCTGTTTATAGTTGATTTTGAAATATGTTCAGGAAAACAAAAACACTTAAGTTATTATTTTAAAAAATTTATATTTTTCACTTTCTTAAATCTTAGAAAATTCTATCTTGATTATCATCAGGTGCTCCATTTTGGTTATTCTGTTGTATTGCATTTGATATTCTAGACAATAAAAAGTCTAATAAGAACAGTATTCCAAGTGTACGAGGTTCACGACCATTTTCAAAAGCAGTTAGAGTCTCTTCGAGAAGGCCTTATTAATGATATATCAATATTTGTTTATAACGGTTTATTACTTTTTTTTTTTTTTTTTTTGTCATATTATACCTTCTTGCTCTTCCGGCTGCAAATCCACATCAAAACCGCTCGGTCTTATAAAGCTAGCCGCATTTGTGTAGCAAACAAAACAAGCAAAAACCAGTGCGATCAGAGTTAACAAGACGATGATGCGCATCTTTATTTGGAAAAGTAATTCAACTTTGTTTGAAATGATTTTTTACCGATCTAATGTGTAATTATTCCTTAAGAGCTTTTTTATACCGTAGACTTTTATCAGTAGTAAACTAATTAGCATATTTAATTAAGTGTCTTTTTGTCAATAATTAAAGAATCAATATATCGATAATAACTAAATAACTTAAGAATTGTGACCATCGGCATAGAATAGATGTCTATCTTGTTTGTTATTCCGTAAGTAGTACTAAGATATATGTAAAATTTATATACTTGACCAAGGAGGGATTCCCGGTAAATTTGTTCTGACAGTCGCAACAAAAAGCTGAGCCCATTTCCTCTTTCAGAAAGAGCGTAAATTAAATGAAAAAATGCTATCTGCTTTCGAATTGTGTGGTTCAAGCCTGTTTGCTTATTACGAAATCGAAAAATAAATTCATTCTATTTTCATACTTATTCAGTTTTTGCTTGATAAGTATTAAAAATTCGTCGCAACCAGCAAAAATAATTATAGAAAATTTTCCAACTCAAATATATGCAACAACAATTCATAATTAATTAAACAACTATATATTTCTCTATTTTTACTTAGCGCAAATTAGATGATTCTATATATTCCGATAGCACTGCTGCTACCACTACAATCAGTAATTCGTCTTCATCGGCTTCTACTTCTATGCAACCAATACGATTAAACTATAATAACAGAGCACGCAAAAGTCTCAAGAAATTCATGCCTGCGAAGCATATACAGAAACATGAGAATGACACTGAAAATTTGCTTACATGTCATAAGCAGCCCAAAGTCAGGGATTTACATCGCTTAGACTATATGGTTAGCGTGTTAAGCATTAAACAAATCTACGCTATTATCGGTATTGCGTTAAACTTGATCGAAGACGATATGCAACTCAGTGACTTTGTTCGTCATATACAAGAAGGTCACATCAGTATGAAAAATGTTTTGCAATATTTCCCTGAAAATATAGCGCGTAATGGTATTGAGATGTTAAAAAAAATCGATTTTTACAAATATCCCGATAAGTATACAGATAAGGTAAGTTTTGCGATTTTAAAATTTTATACGTATTTTATACGCGTACCACACGCGACTCTAAACAGAAGTAAAGGGACTCCATTTTAGAAATTAGTGAAATTATTAATCTGCGCCCAATGGAATCATGTTTATCATCTTGAAGCTAAAAAAACCTTATCCAAAAAAAAAATTCCCTTTTTACAATATTTTTTTTTTATGTTTCAAATGCTCCTTTAAGAATATTGTAAGGGAGGCGGTTGGAATGGAATTTTATTCTTTCTCGTAAATATGTTTTTCGAACTGACTGTCTGTCTATCATTTATGATCTTATTTCTTTTCAGAACTTAAGAGAACATATAGGCGTGCTTTGTAAAAATATTGGTATTCGAAAATTTAAATGCCCCGACATGATCAAATTGGTTGAGCGTTATGTCGAGGAATTGTGTTTGCCAGCCGATGTGGCGATTTTTGCTATGCATTTAATTAATTTGCTGCCACCACGTTTTGAAATACGTGCTGCGGTTGGTTATCCAAATTATGAAGCGAGAGCTATGGCTTACATAATTTATGTTTTGAAATTATTATTCGGCCTGGATGGCCACAAAGAACAGTTGATATCCCTAAATACGAAAAATATGAATAAAAAAATTAATCATTTCAATAGCATTTACAATGAAAATGAATCCCCACTGTTTGTTTGGAGTGACTGGGTGCAATACATTGAAATGCGTAAAGTCCTAATATCGCAATTCAATTCTGATTTTTGCAAACAATATAAACAAACACCAAGCACAGCCCAATTTTTAGAACAAATGCATGATGAGGTAAACCAACGCGATGAGCAAACTGAGCTTTTAACCGATGATCTAAATACTTCCGCCATTAAGCAGCACTTGGACGTTTTCAAAGCGATATTCAAAGACTTTACGAAAAAAGAGGAAAATTCGAAAATGTCCCAACATATAAAATTTTCGCCCAGTTTTACGCCGGCTTCTAGTTATTTAAAAACTATTCTGCTGCATTTTAAAAGCAATGCAAACTTATTGGAAGATCAACGCATTGAGATACCAGACTTTATGCAAGTTGATCACAAACGTTTCAACATTAAAGCCTTTGTAGAGGTCAAGCCATGCGTAGAATATTTTGCGAGTAAAGGGTACAAAATGAATGTTATTGAAGTGCCTGTTACAACCAATCGTACTTATGTCGGAGTTTTTCGTCCGCCTCCGACAGCATCGCGCGGAGTAGAGCAATACTTGCGTGTCCAGCGTGCAGATTTTAATATAGACGAGCAGAAATGGAAAGAAAGGGTGACTAATGAGGTGGTGCCTTCAACAGACGATTTGGAATTCAAAAAGGAATTGGAAAGTTATCAGCCTGGTTATCTAAGACGTCGAGTAAATGCGTCGAGAAGAAATCAACTGAAAAATAAAGAATCATTTATCGAATTTGAAGGGGAGGTAAGTTTTAAGTTTTTCGACTTACCAAGCAAAGACTAGAGCATAGTTTAATTCTCACTTCTCTTAGGTTCCGTCCACGGAGCTTAAATTGGAAAATAATGATTTCAATTCTGCGGCATCGTATGAAATATTAACTGAGGGTAATATGACACCTTTAGCCAGCAAGTTTGCTAAAGTCTTATCTAAGCCTCGCCGCCATTTAGGCAAATTGAATATCCTGCAAAATTTAAATGACGAAGAGAATCTTATTAACGAGAGACCTTTCGACGAAATTAAGTTGGACATAATAAAACAGGAATTGGAAGAGAAATCTTTAAATTTTCTAATATCTAATATGGATTGTTGGTTACTTATGGGTCATATATTAATGTTGACTAAAACTCAGAAGCAACAATTGCGAGATAAATTTCCTCGTTCGTTTTGCTGGCTATTGGAAACTTGTGCGGAAACTCTGGGTGTAGACTGGTCTATTATCTATCAGCAATTGTTAGTTATTGAGTTAATGTTTGGTGAAGGCATTGAGAGTTTAAACAATTTTGATGGTTGCATCCAGTACAAATACAATAATCCCATTAAAGATTTTAATACTTTAATTAATACTTACCGCGAAATATGGTAGAAACGCATCCATACGATTTTAGATGAATAAAAATATTAAAAGCAAAAACTTTTACCCAATTAATAGAAACAAAAACATCGCATTTGACTCATGTCACATTATTTCTTATTTGTTGTTTATGACATATTTATATGATACATTTATTTATCTCTATAAATCATTATTATTAAGCTTTAAGTTTTTTTTTTTTTTATAGGAAATTAAATTCAAAGTGATGAGAAACAATTTCACATTTGCAAGAAAGAAAAGAAATCGGTTTTCAAATTTGGTGCCGCTCATAAGTCTTCTTTTGAAAAAATGATCTGAACTTTCGGTTTCCAAATTATTGAGTTTGTTAATGCTCGCCTCATCTCGCGCGAACAGTGGTACCATTGTTGTGTGATTTCCGTGAACTTTTTTTTTTTTTTTGTTTTTTTCATTATGATATGACCCCCATAAAGTTTTATGACACTTGGTCCGGTTAAACGTGAATATAGGTACGCATGATAAATGGAAATATTGTATAAGCCGCCAAAGAACCTCATTAGCACCTTTTGTAATCGCTTTATTAGTGTAACAATTGATTGCGGTTTTAGCTTTTTTATATCTAAACTTGATGCCAATTTACGGAATGTGTCAGGTTTTCAGAGGTAGATCAAAAGAGATGTAACAGCAGTGATTGCATAGTAAAATCATAGACTTTCGAATTAATTGATAGCAATGTTTAAGAAGTAGCTAGAGTTTGATTGTTTACTGGGTAAGAATACCTTAAAATTGGAAGAAGCCATCCTTTGCGTGCAAATCAGTCCAAATATGAAATGTTTGGCTGCGTTTAGGTCCTTTATATATTGTATATAAAATATAGTTTAATAAATAAAAAATAAACTGAATCAAGTAAGTGCACTCAAAAGTTTAAGTTCAATATCAATCAATAAATTAATTTCACGCAGCAAAACGATTGTATTAATAGGTTCCTCGCATAAAAAAGGGTACTTTTTACGTTTATCCAAAGCTTTCAACTAAAACAGGAAGACTTCGCATATTTTCCCTGCACGGCAGCTTTTTGCATGTGGGTAGGGATGATTTCCTAATGGGCCCATCCAAGACTGAGTGCAGCGCGTAAAAATTCAAGCAGCAAATGGATGGAAAAATATGTGCCCATCTTATATAGAGTTCAAAATGTTAATGTTGAAATGGTGGTGCGTTTGCTTAGATGATGTAAAATTCTTATAAATCGGTTTCACTTATTCCATTTAGCGGTTGATCACTGGGTTGTTACTGGCACGCAGACGCAACGTTCTATAAATGATTTGCAGAATTCTTTGCAATTTATTGGCTTTGAAGAGGCAGCTGAACAGCAAATTTTGGAATCATATTCTCAACGCTTTCGTAGTTCACTACGAATCATTAAATTGTAGTGAATGTTTTGCAAAAGTGCATGTAGTGTTTCTAGTAAAGTTGATGTTATGGTAGAATTATAAAGAGAATACGCCAACATGATAAAGTAGCGCACCCCCTTAAATTTAATAATTTACAAAGAGCTTTTCTAACCTGTGCTACCTCAGGAAAGTCGCGCAAAATATACGGAAAACGTTCACAAATAAAAAAAAACGTATGATCATAATATCACCTCAAATAATGAAATAAATATCGTAAGTCGTAATAAATTTATAACCTGGAATAATATTATTTCTAAAGATTTTTCAATTTTTCGGATCTTGCAACCTTTTTTGAAAATACGTCAATCTTGTACTACACCCGTGGTCATATTTAATAAGATAGTTCAGCAAGAGCGGTTTCTTCTGCTTGAAATCCAATAATCAACTCAGCTGTAAATCTGAATGAAGACCGATGGCTCGTCGCATAAGGGTTAGTAACCCATTATGTACATTTATGCATATATAAAACATTGAAGTCTTTTTCTTTTGTTGCACAGCAGCTTTTTGGGCAAAACTTTTAAAATCAAGGAGCGCTACACAATGTCGGAATATGTATACTGATTACTGAAGGAGCTCCTTATTTGATAATGTTTACTTACACAGCTTTTATGAACGGAATTGTAAGAGACTGTAAGGTCTAAGTGACGTTTACCAGTGCGCCGCAAGTTTTCAAGATTTGTGAGAAGTACTCTACACTACTTGTATGTATGTATGTATGTATGCTTGATGTATATAACAGAAGGACTTGAGATGGACTTACGTTTGGTCACACTGATCGATTCAGAAAGTGATTTGGAGCTGGTTTATCCGTGTGTTCCTTTTGTTTTTTCGGTTCAACCTACAGGATGCAATTTTCAAGATGATTTGATGAAATTTGGTGCACTGACATGTTTCAGCTCACTATTGAAAATTGTTCGAATCACTTTTTCGACCACTTTTTTGACCCTTTTTCGTTTTAGATTGGAAAGTCGATATAGAGATAACTAAAGGATGAGATAAGGCGTTTAACGATAATGGGTCGTGACCCACAAATTATTTTAGAGAGTATTTAGAGAGAGCCACTATATTGTACGCCTTCCCGATTTTATTGTAAGAAACTTGTTGATTTTATTCGAATTAATTTACAGACAATTCTGTGGGAAGTAAGTAAGTATGTGAATGGACCCTTATTTAACGTTGATGGTAAACGAAAATGGTGCAAGGGTTCTCAAGAAATAATCCACCAGTAAGCTCGAATGAATGGTAGATATGTTAAGAGAAACCCATTCACAAAAAATTCTGGAGAAGATTGGTAGCAAATATTAGGTGGATAAAACTAATAAAAATTTTCCAAGGCCGTTTCATTGCTGAGGCTATCCAATTGCGAAATGCTTTCGGTCAAGTAACAATTTCGAACATGTCGCGTTATTTCTGGCAATTTTGAAAAGTTATGAAAATAGATCAAAGATCGATCGAAAAAAATAATATAAGCAAACGGCTCTGACTTTATTTCCAAATGGAACGTACAATTTCAGAAGGAAAAAATACGACGTCTACACGACTGCGCTCACATAATATCATAATTCTTTGTCAAATTGTCAATTTTACAAAAGAAAGAGTAAAGAGAGGCTTCTGCCTGCAAATTTGCTGCCCGAGAAAAGGCCCGCTTCTAGCGAGCAAATTCTTCAGCGACATAATCTCCGTGAGCGTGTGCTCTTTCATTGATGAAAAGAATTTCGAAGGAACGGAACTACAAACTGCGCACCGCACTGCGCACTGCGATCTGTTGAAATAAGAAGCAAACTAGATCAACGTTATAGTACGCAACGTTATGATTGAAACAGAAGCAAACTTTGGAAAACTGTTTTAAGGATACGTTCAAGTCTGTGTCGATTGTCAATGCAATTGACATGATTGGAAACTTGACCGCAATGATAACAAAAAATAGTAGGTTCTCACCCTATTACGGAGACGTCATCGTATAGGGTAAAGACCTGTCGAATGATTGCGTACGAATATACGCTTATTCTCTAAATCGAAGCAATACATGTAAAGAAATTTATTCAAACATTCTCAATTGTATGGAATTTTGTATACGGAAATTATTGAGAATATACACATTAATCTCGCATCGATGAGGCCCATCTTTGATAAGCTCAAATGTCTAATTTCGCTCCATTACACTAGTTCTTCTTTGTTTGTAAGCCAAGATGTACTGAAGGGGCTTTTCATAAAAAGAGGGAGCTTTCATAAAAAACGCACGAGACTGATTTCGGGCCACTTTTGCATCGAAAGATCTATTGGAAATGAGCATATGCGCCACAAACCGAAAGATTTTGTAGTTTGAACGTTAAAGTCGAATTAATAGCGTACACACATACATAAGTACTATTCTTTTTTTAGATTTGTGATCACAAGTGCCGAATTGTTGCGATCAATGCGAAATATTCTAGAAATATGCCACAAAACAAGTGTATCATCCAATGAGGAAAAGCAAGACATAACTGCAGATGCCCAAAACACCCCAGATGAGCTTAAAAAAATGTGAAAACCGTATTAACCAAGTTCGTGATCAGCATCGCGGTAGAAACATGGTGGGGCGGCTCAAGGGCTGGTTCTCCTGTTTCGAAAAACTCTTCTGAAAGTTAATTTTTTTACAAGAGCTTATCCATTGAAAATATTTCTGGAACTTGTACGTGTCTTACAAATTAAGCAAATAGATTTTTATGATCTCATGATCAGAGAGATTTCAAGATGAATTACAATAATTCCGCGCAAACTCTAATCTTAAACGTAAATTTTTTAGATTTTTTCTATTCCATTTCCAAAAATATTTTTTTTTGGAATTTGTTTATTTACAACCCATTTGCAATTAAACATTTAGCAAATAAATTAATAACTGAAAAGAAGAAAAGCAATAACATAAACTACTTAGATTCCAGTGAATTTAACAAATACACACTTGTTTAATATTTGACTTAAGGTTTTAAGTATATTAGTGTATTAGTGTAGTAGTCATATGCCTATATGAAGGCGAGGTCTAATACGTGGTGTGTATTCAGGCTTCTTACTTCGTAGATATCATCTAATAAGTTTGCATGTAAAATATTTGTGCGCAGACTTAATCTGTTTAGGTTATTACTGCTAAAGGGTTTTAAATGAAATCAAGGTCGGTATGAAATATATGCGACTGCTTAGATATCAAGGAGCGTTTGTAATTAGTTTTAGGGTTTTAGACCGATATCTCTATAATATTTCTACATTAGAATTGCTAAATGTCCCCCATAGTTGTATTTCCATAGCTGGATCCTACACGTCCATGTTAGCTTTGTAAAGTAAAACTTTGTTCTTCAAACTAAGCTTGGATTTTGGTCTTAAAAGCACGTTCATGTTCTTTTTCTTGTTTTCATATTTAGTTGGCGTCGTTTTGACGTCGTTTGTATATGCTTTCCCCAACTTAGTCGCCTGTCGATGTAGAGACCAATTTATTTCACGTTATCTAATTTAGTAGAAAGACAATCTACTTTTCTTAGACTAAAAGTAACATATCTTGAATTTTCAATATTTACTTACTTAAAATATATGCATATTACCTTCGCATAATATCGTACTTATCTATATGGCTTTAGTTTGGATATATAAACGGTAGACAAAAACCAACAACATTTTAATGATTGC